GTCCTCTGCCCCTTCCCTCGGCTCTGCCCCCCCTGGGAACGGGTGGGCGGCGGCGGGGCCGGTGTGGGATGGTTGCTGGGGAAGCTGCTGCGAGCGACTGTGCCGTTAACGGTTGAGCTGTGTCCGGCCACTGGCTACGAACGGGTTTCCCGTGGGGTTCGGAACGTGGCCGCGCCGTTACGTGGGGTTGTTACCCGGTAGGATTCCGGTCGTCATGTTTTCCGGACTGCGCATGCAGGGAGGCCAAGCAGCGCTCGGTAACAGCCTGGGCGAGGTGCTGTGTTGAATTATCCCCGTGGATTTCCAGCCCAGATGGTGCCTGCGAGGTGATGTCCCCTCTGGGCCTCATGTAAAAGAAAGAGGCTTTCTAACATTCCCTTGCAGCAGGGATCGTTTGCTCTGAGGCTAGTGATTTGCAGCAGTCTGGCTGGGAGTGGTTTAGAGCAGTGGGTGATGTCTTGAAAGAAAGATGGTATTTCCAAAATGTAGCAGGCTGTTGGTACCTTGTCTATTCAGTTTATCTTCCTGTTGAAGAATAACTGAAGTGACAACCTGAAGCAACTTGAGAAGGAGAAGATAGACCAGTATTTCTAAGGGGAAGGAGGGTGTTAAAAAGCAACTAAAAGTGGAATATTACAGTGCTGTAGGCATGTCATAGAAGCAGCATTTACGTGAATGTCCTGAAGTGTTTGCAATTCTGATTCCAGCTTGTGATATTGGCCCTTTTCCCCAAAGCGCTTAGATTGCTAGTTGTTAAAATTACCAGATTCCCTAAGCTGAAAAAAATGTGCTGGACAGCTTAGCTCGGATGTAGTGGGACAGAAGACTAAGAAAAACATTAGTGACTTTTCTGTTTCAAGTGCCAGGGATACCTTTGTGATTTTGTTATGTGTATGTCAGAGAAAACAACCTATGCATCTCTTAGAAGAGAAATCCCAACACATTTTTACATAAAGTTTCATCATCAGGCATGTGCTGTGCATTAATCATGTTTTTAATGCATTGTAGGATTTTAAGGCACAAGTTGAGGGTAATGCCAGAACTAAATAAAAGCACTGAAACATCTCTTAAGTTTTGCAATTTCTAGACTACCTAGAGAAATCTCTGTGTAGTGTGAGGACCTGTGAATATTCATGTGAATACTACTAGTGCCATTTTTTTTTGGACTTGGACTTTTTTGCACTTGAGGGCTAGACCATACTTTGCTAGGGAACTTGGTGATGATACAGAAGTCTCCCTACGAAGTCCACCAAATAGAATATAAAGCTCTTACTCTTTATTAAGAAAAGGGTTTGATCAGAATATTTGACAATTCTTTCATAGCATGGGATTAACTGCTAACTTAGAATTTATCTGTCTTTATAATATGCTTCTCCACTCCTTTCTCCGTATGTATGGGAGGCAGAGGTACTGATACTGAATCAAAAAAAATTTTTTTTTTTTGGCCACTACCAAGAGAGAATGAAGTGATGTTTAAAATATATATGTGGCGCATTCAGTCCCCCTAGACTTAAAGTAAAGATTTAAATTAAACCTGGAATTGCAGTATATGAGTGCTGGATTGGACGACTGCTACTGATCTGGAGGGAGTCCTGAAAATATAATCAATAAGTCATAATAATGATTCTGGATTTTAAACTCCATTTCAGGTCATCACTGCAGTGAATTTTAGAATTAGGTTCTTCAGTTGGTCTCATTTGGTGGTGTTTCAATGCGTACTTCTGCTTATACAGATATTCACAGCATTTATTCTCACCTATTCTAAATTTCTTCTGCTACATAGTGACGGAGTATTCTGTTTTGTTTTATTATGATTCCTACCTGACCTCTTTTTCTTAATATTCTGAATTCTACTTCATTGTTAAGAAGCTTTTTGATGTCCATTATATTAATCAGAAATATCATCCTAGTGTTGAGAAATTACTCTTGTCTTTTCAAAGTAAGGTAAGGAGCTTTATCTTGGACTTATTCCCAAAGTAGCTAGATTTCTATCAAATTATGCATGTCTGGATCATGATTTGTAAATTATCTATAAAATGTAACTTTAAAAAATGTAGTTGCTCTAAGTAAAAGACCTGTTCTTTTTGTGTATTTTGCTAGCCTCTGAAGTGTGAATGTAGTATGAGTTCTTGAAATCTTTCAGCTGAGACAAAATGACTGCAATCAAGCATGCCTTGCAAAGGGATATTTTCACTCCCAATGATGAACGCCTGTTGAGCATTGTGAATGTTTGCAAAGCAGGCAAAAAGAAGAGAAACTGCTTTTTGTGTGCCACAGGTACTTAGTAATACTACATGGTGTTTATGTCTTTTTTTATTATTCAGTTGCCTTCTTCTTAGCTTTATTTACAGTATTTCTTGCTTATAAAAAGGATAAATGGAAGCTTTCATTTTTAATACAAAAAGTTGTCACTTGTGTTATTGCTTCTATTAAAACAGAAACAGAACACTGCAAGTTACGGTAAGATATGTGAGTAAAAGCAAGGAAGGAATCAAAATTATTTGTGTGGGATGAAGTGGGCTTTTGAAGGAGGCTTTGTATAGTGCTTAAAAGGAGATTTAGTAGATCCCTAGGCTAATCAATCTAAACATGATGCAGTAAAGAGTTCTGATTAGAGTCAAAGAAACAGGGCCCTGGAACGGCACAGAAACTGAACCGAGTTCTAATGTTCCTTTGAGAACAAGTGCATTATATTGTACTTCTTCCAAGAAGTCTCTGTTGTCCAATATAGCAGTAAATTAACAAACTAGATTTTTTTTTTTAACTGACAAATCTAAGAAAGTGTTTTTATTCAGAGTATAATCCCTAGTGGTTTCTTTGTGTTCTCCCAGTAGTGCAGCAATGTGTCCGTAGTTCTGATGAATCAAAGAAATAGCCATAAATTGGCTTAATTACTTCAGAAGCTATACAGAACTGCACATCTGGATGACTAAAATTTAAACTGAGCTGCAAGCGCTGAGCATGAAACCTCTTTCAGGGGAAGCAGTTCCAAAACTACTCTTGTGCCTCATTTAACAGTGACAACAGAGCGTCCAGTGCAAGTAAATGTGGTAAAGGTGAAAAAATCTGACAAGGGAGATTTCTACAAAAGACAGACTGCGTGGGCACTTCGGGATCTTGCTGTTGTTGATGCCAAAGATGCTGTTAAAGTACGTGATTTTTTTTTTCTTGGTGCATACTCTACCTAGGATGCTCACTTTTAGTTCTGATACAGAGTTAACTTACTTGGCCACTCATTGTCATATAGCTTTGATTGTTAATGTGTTAATTTATCTTGAATATGGTATGTGTCTATTACATAACCCTCATAAATTGAGGGTGAATAGTGCAGATATGCTTCAATAGAAATCTTCAGAATGTCTGCCTAATTTATTGTGAGTGATTTCTGTGGAGCTGTACAGTACTAGTCTGTACAGTATTTGTCCATATATGTGTGTATGTATGTACATACACTGGACAAGCATGTATACATGTGTGTGTGTGTATATATATATATAAATATATATATATAAATATATACATATTATTTGCTTCAATTCCTATGTAAATTTTGATTCCAAAATGTAGTTTTCCTTTGAAATAAATCATGGCCATCCCATGGGGCTACCTATACTCTTTTGACAAGACACTCAAAACTTTTTTAGTGAATAAAATGTAAGAGTGTAAGTAAACTCTGTCTTCTAATTCATGACTGCTAAATAGGCTGCTTATTGGAAAGGGTACACCCTTGAGCTGCAGTTCTTTTCCATAGAACAAGAAGCATAATCTAATTCTGGCCTATTCAATTCATCTAAAGTGAACAGGCAGAGATGAAAATTTTTCTTGCGCTCTGCTGTATATATTGTCAGTAATTCCAGGCATGGGTTTTGGGCAGAGGGCTAACAGCGCAAGTCGTTCTGAGGACAGAATTTCTTGGCAGGCAAGTAAAGTGTTTCTTCAAACTGTCACAGGTTTCTGTATTATATGTTACTGTTGCTCTGTCTAGCTTGAAAATACATTTTCTTCATGTTATTTTCTTATTCTTGTAACATTGTAGCTTCTTTACAGTGCATCTAGATGCCTGTACTAGTATATCAATTTAAGGTTGACATCTGTGCAATTTCTTCTTATACTGTCGTTTCAATAATTAAATGACTAAACCATCTCTGCTGTTCAGAAAATTATTTATGACTATTAAGCCTGGAAATTATCTCATCTTTTACAGGAGAATCCTGAATTTGATTTACATTTTGACAAAGTGTACAAATGGGTTGCAAGCAGCACAGTGGAAAAGAACACTTTCATTTCATGTATCTGGAAACTTAATCAGAGATATCTTAGAAAGAAAATTGACTTTATAAATGTTAGTTCCCAGCTTTTAGAAGGTAAATTTCAACAGCTTTATATTAAGTGTGAATTTTAATGATTGACTGTCAGAGTAAATCAGGTATATTGAGTAAATAAATTCTGTATTTTTTTTTAATTTTTAAAAGCCTTATATAAACAAGATGCTTGGAAAACATACCTTATATTGCAAAACTGTGTCAAAATAATAGTTAATGAAATTCTGCATATCATTAAGAATATTGCTTTTCTAGGATATTCTGTTTCTTGAACAAAACAAAACCTACCTGAAACTTTCTGGTTCTCACATGCCCTAAGCTGGAAAAATGCTTTAAAAAGGGACATTTATAAAGCATGCTATACTTTATATAAGGTTTATATCTGGTTTCTAGTTTATTTCTTGGTTCACAAACTATGAAATATCTGTTAAATTCTTCTGGAAGTGCAGCTTAAGTGGCTGCCTGGATGCTGTAAGGGCTTTATATTTTATATACTCAAATATGATTTTTACATTCACAGTATCTTTAAATAGTTATTTTTTTCTCAAGGAACAGTGACTAGACAGTGCGTCTATAAGAAGTGGCCAAACTGTTGATTGGTATTAAATAGTAGACTAGTTTGTACAGAAAAACTAGCGTAATTAGAAGGGAGGAAAGCAGCTCTGTTTTTCCATGTTGACCAAAATTTGTTTTTCATTGACCAATAACTTTTCAAGTTCTTGCAAAATTAAAACATTCAACTTACTGCCACTTAAAAGTACGCATGCTGTACATGCTTTTGCCTAGCTAACATTCTCTGCTTCCTTTCTTCTGCTTTTCTATACCTTTTAATTCTCCAGAACTGCCTAAAGTTGCAGAAGGTGCGTAACACCTTTTTTTCCTTTATTCTTCTTTGTGAGTAAGTTTTCATAATTAACTTCTCTCTGCTTGCAATAGTTTACTAAATTGCTAGAGATAAGTTTCAGATTACAGTTTCAGATTACACAAGGATTACAGTAATGTTCTGTGAATTTTGTTAGCTCTTGAATGGCTTTCTTAATTAAACACTGCAATGAGGAAAAAAAAACTTACTTATGTAATTTTCATTTCCTTCTATATTGCCTTTTCCTGTGATGAAACTTACCTTGAGCAGAAAGATAATTTTTATGTATTTCATGATGTATTTCTTAACTAACCATAGTATCTTTTGCTTTTTGTGCTATATGTACCAAAAGAGATGCTCTAGTTTCTGTGAAATTTCTGCTAGTAATTTTAGAACAGTACTGCAAAATATTCAGGTGCTCATTACCAGCAGGAGAGGTGGATGAACTGAGGCAGTGTCTCCCTTTATATATACAGTACAGGAAGGTGGCTCTTTGCTTTTTTTTTTATATATGTTAAGTAGTTTGGAGGGCATTGCTGTTGTGAACCAGTTCTGGCAATCTTATTGAAATTCATGGAAAACTGAGACTTAACTTGAAAAGAAATGTTTATCTAGCAACAGGTGTTTGTTGTGGAAATGATTTAGTGGATCCATCTAATTAAAAGAAGATAGTTTAACATACATAAGTGTGAACATGCTGAAGTACTCTTAAAATGCTTGTGGCCTTCTGCTTTTCATAACATGTATTTTATTTCCCTTTCCTATGTAAAGAATCAGTTCCGAGTGGAGAGAATCAAAGTGTAGCAGGAGGTGATGAAGAAGCTGTGGATGAATACCAGGAACTAAATGCAAGAGAGGAACAGGATATTGAAATAATGATGGAAGGGTGTGAATATGCCATATCTAATGCTGAAGCCTTTGCAGAAAAGCTGTCTAGAGAGCTGCAAGTGCTAGATGGGGTAAAGAATTATTCTAATGTATAGTGTGTTAGCATGTGAAAATGTTTGCCTTGCTACTGAGTATGTAGTGTCTGTTGAGAATGTTCTGCTGCATGTTTAAAAACATGTTCATTTGAGTGTTGCTACTTCTAAGCAGAATTACTTACTGCCTTGTATTTTAAAGATCTTGGAACTCAGTATTCACTGCCCAGATCTTCTGCAGTAAGCCTTATAAATGAGGCGTAGAAGAAGAGGAAGCCAATCTCTGTACACCTCACTTTTCCTTTTGAGATTCAAATATGTCTCTTAGAGTCTTATGGTTTAATTTTCTGTGTAGGCAAATATCCAGTCAATCATGGCCTCTGAGAAACAGGTGAATATCTTGATGAAGTTGCTGGATGAAGCTCTGAAGGAAGTTGATCAGATTGAAATGAAGTTGAGCAGTTATGAAGAAATGCTTCAGAGTGTAAAAGAACAAATGGATCAGATTTCAGAAAGCAACCACCTAATCCATCTCAGCAACACGAACAATGTGAAGCTACTGTCTGAGATAGAGTTCTTAGTGGTAAGCATGTTTGTTGTGCCATCTACCATGACTGTTTACCTGTGGTATAAATTCCTTTATGTTGTCACCCTCTTTAGCAACCTCTTACGAAGCCTGTTTTACTCTTACAGTAGCTTGTGTAAGTTTTTATACTGACAGAATTGTATTTATCATTCTTTGTTTGACAGAATAGCATAAAGCTATTGCTGCTTTTGGGCAATAAATGGTACTTTTTATTATTTTGTAGAATCATATGGATTTGGCTAAAGGTCATATAAAGGCCCTCCAAGAGGGAGATCTGACATCTTCTCGGGGCATTGAGGCCTGCACTAATGCAGCAGATGCCCTTCTGCAGTGTATGAATGTCGCTCTTCGTCCAGGTAATGGCTCGCTAACACGTGGATTTATTTTTTATGATACTCCCTTTATTTTCAGTCCCTTTCCAAATAGTCTTAGATGTTGTTTTTGTACACTGACAGAATAGTTATGCGTGGTCCCTTCTGTTCCTACATATGTTATATAACTGTAGTTTGTACTCTGTGGGATTCTTTTTGTTTGCTTTCAGGACATGATATGCTGCATGCGGTCAAAGAGCAGCAACAGCGATTTAGTGACTTGCGTGAACAGTTTGCACGAAGGCTTGCCAGTCACTTGAACAGCGTATTTGTTCAACAGGTATTAACTTACTACTTTATTCGGAATCTTCAGTCCCAGACGCTTTCAAAAAAGAACAACAATCCAACTGAAATTGGACATGTTCTTTGGTACGGTCAGTAAGTGAATGGACTGCTAGAGGCACTTCAGGGGGAGAGGTCACTAACCATGCTGAGCTATAGTGACTCTAGAAATAATCTCATATTTACAAAACAAACAGAAAAAGCTCTGTAGTAGGTTTGATATCTCCATTAAGCACACGAGATGTAAGGATTTACTTTGTTTGCAACACTGCGGAAGAAAAAATGATAAATTTCAAGGGTTTAGAAGGCTGAAAACACCAGAGTTTTTGTTATCTACGCTTCATAAATCATGCAAAGTGAAACTGTTAAACATTGGTTTTGAGCCTTAATTTGAAATACACAGAAATCACTGTCCTGAGATGTGTTCCCTGAGGATGGATATCTTTAAGTATCTTTTTTGTTTTGTTTTTGTTTTTGTTTTCTTATCTCCAATTAGTTTACTCAGACCCTACTTCAACTCTATAACAGGTCCTACAATCTTTCAGTTCCAGTGAGTACATCAGGTTTGATACAAGCTTTTCTAACTAACTTTTTTTTTAAGCTTGCCTTATCTAACTAGCAGCTGCATCTTTGACTTTACAAATATGAAATCTATCCTGTTTGTGGAGCATCAGATTTATGTCCCTTCTCACGTCTAGTAATTTGCATCAGCTCCTAAGCTTTGTTTATCTGTGTGCTAGATAGCATTCATCTGATCTGTGGAGTTTGCCGAGAGAGTGAAAAACAGACACAGGGAGAAAACATTTTCAGGAAACTATATTTGTACAACTGTACAGATATTACAATTACATGTGACTGTAGTATTTGTAAATAGAAAAGTAATTCAGCTTTTATACGTATTAGCGCAGTCAGTCTTAGGAGTTTTATACTTTTTAATGTATTTGTTTTTATGCAGAAAATGGAGCAGAATTATGCCAGATAATTTTATTGAAAATTTTATTTGAGATTGCAAATGTGGCTCTTTATGGCAGGGATAATTGTTTTCTGTATTTCCTTCATTTTACAGAAGAATTCCAGTTATATGGCATGCCAAAATTGTGGTCTTTAGCTTTTATTAACAAATATGTTTCTCCTGCTGCTTCTCATTTTTTCAAAAACTGGGTACAGCCCGTTTGTCTTTGCCTTAAAATGAGTAAGGAGAAACTTAAATGATTATTACTGTGTAATACTAAATATATTAGCTGAAATAATTATACTCAATTCTCACTTCAGGTGAAATTTAAAGAAGGCAGAGGTTTCTAAATCAGAAGAGGTAAATGTGAAAGCAGCTTCCCAAATATCACGTTTCTGATTTAGGAATCATTAGATAAAACAATAAAGTTCCGCTGTGCTTAGCTTAAAGGTATTATCTTGAAAGTGTGAGCTTGTTCTTTATTTATTTCTGTTAAACAAAGGCGATGCTGTGATTCATGCTGTTGTCATAAAATACTGGGGCATTTTCATCTCTTCTTCATAAATGAAAACAAATTTCGAAAATTTTAAACAGAAACACAATTTTGGATTGCAGCTCACTGAAGTGTCAGATCATCTGCAGCAAACTGCTACTAACATTTAACAGACTTGTCTTTACTGTGTCCTAATAATTGATTAACTTGCAAAAATGTATCTGTAATCTTTTTAAGTTGTTTTTCTTTTCCCCACAACCAGGTTCAGCATTCAATTAAATGCAGCACTAAGTTTTCTGCCTTTGGAACAGTGCAATGAAATAGTTGAATAATAAACTTGCAGCTTCATTTGGTGGCACTTAGTGTAACTGTATGCTTTGAATAAAGAGAGGAAGCCTCTCTGTTTTTTTGGTGGGGAAGATACAGTTAGACCAGATGCATCTCATCTTGGAATGTCATTCAGGAAATTTCTGCAGTATCTGTACAGTACTTTCAGATTTATTTTAGTACTTTCTTTTGTTAAGGGTCATGATCAGAGTTCCACGCTTGCCCAGCACTCTGTTGAATTGACATTACCCAATCATCATCCGTTTCACAGAGATTTACTTCGTTATGCTAAACTGATGGAGTGGCTCAAGAACACAGACTATGGAAAATATGAAGGTCTGACAAAGGTATGCGAAATGCTCAGATGGTTCTAGAGAATTTACAAAATATATTATTTTTACAAAAATCAGAAGAATTGCCTGTGCGCACTATGCGCATTTTTCTTAAATATTCCTTCATGTTAAATGTAATTTACTGCCTTTTCCTTTTCCTGTTCCTTTTTGGAATAGGAAACTTCATGTTGGTATTTGATTAGATCCTTATTATTTTCAAGTTTCTATGTGTATTTGTTCTGAAGCATAATATAATATTAAACTCAGTGTTTACATAAAACTGTTTCTCATTTTATGATATAATAAAAAGAATAATTAAGCTGTTTGCATGGGTCACTTCATGACTACTTAAATGTCTTGAATATAAGCATATTTGTATGTATATGTCCAAAGCACTTTATTTTGTACACTTTATTCCCATGCTGATTTTTGAAAATGAATAGTATATACACCCAACTGTTAACTAATTTTCTATTTTTCATTTAAGAATTATATGGATTATTTATCACGACTGTATGAAAGAGAAATAAAAGATTTCTTTGAAGTTGCCAAGATCAAGATGACAGGCACAACCAAAGAAGGAAAAAAGTTTGGTAAGCTTCTAGGAGGCAAATATCTTCCTTTATTCAAAAACAAACAATCAAACGAACCAACCTCTTACAACTTCTAGTGCCAAAACTGTAATGCTGTTCTATACCTAAATTGGAAATTGGCTACATTTGGCAAGGTAGGATGTCGATGGTAAATACAAGTACCAAAGCTTTGGTCTTCCCCAAGGTTGAAGGAGCACAGTGGAAATCTTGTGAAATCAGAGGGTAAAATACGATTTGTCAGATCTACTGTCAATTTTTAATGAAGAACTACTCAATTTATTACTGAATAGATAGCTTTTCTAGTTAAAGTAAGCTTGGGTAGCATGCTTTCTGCTATTTCTGCTTTTAATGAGATTTATGGTGGATTTTGAAGAAGCTAGTTTTAATGTTGACTCTATCTGAGGAAACCTGTGACATTTAGTTGTGTTTACAGCTGGATTTACATATGTGGAAATCATGCTCAATTAACTTGCAGGCCTTTGCACTTAAGGAAGTAGGCATCCCTGGTAGGGGGAAAATGAGCATGCAAGGGAAGTGATTCTAAAAGTAACCTGAGCACTTAGCAAACAGCAGTGATATAGGTGCATTAATATATTAGCTATTCTGCATTTTAAAGTGCATTTCAAAATGTGTTTGCTTAGCATATCTGTATTTGTCATAATTGACTAGCTTGTATATCTGAAATTCAGAAGTAAAGTACAAGTTGAACTAATAAGTTCTGTCAAGCCTATTTTGGGTCTTGAGCTGATGAAGAAAAAAATAATGAGAGAAAGAAGGCAGGAGCATGGGGAGCCTTGACCAGGTGGGGAAGGAGAATTGGAAAGAAAACCCTTGACAGGCTGGTGGCCATGAAGAGCAAGTGCTGCCGTAGTGTGTCAGTCACAACAGTTAATGTTGTAAGTCTTGAAAAGCTTACTCTTAGAACAAAAACAACTTGAACGTAAGTTGATTTCTAGAATACTTTATTCTGCTACATCTCTTGTGATTTGCATTTGTGAGGACAATTATTCTTAATTTCTGTAAGTGTTTTGAAGTACTGCCAATTTAGAGAAAGATTATTTAACTCACCAGCCTTCACTTTGAAAGTTTCTGTTGAATATTTGGAAAACCTGAATTATGCTTAAAAGCGGCACAAAATGGAGACCAGGAGTAGAGTAACAAAGGGTATATTTTTTTTAATGGTTCTCTTGATTTGATTATTTTTGTAACAGGTTACACTTTCATGAACATACCAAAAAGTATGCTTTTGTTTAAGTCTTTTTAGTGACTGATTTTTTGGCATGGAAAACTTGACCCAAGTGTACAGTACTCAAAAAATTGGTAGTCTTTAAATAATGCCAAAATTGGAAGCTGTATCGAGTGGGACACTCTGGATTATTAATAAACTTTAATAAACTTTGAATAATGGCTACGTGTGGCTGCATATTTGAGGCCACAAGCAAATTTGAGAATGAATGAGATAATCTTGCAGAAAACCTCTCTCCTCAATACTCATCATGGTCCATTCTTAATGGTACCATTTGCAAAGAAGGAAAACAAACGTTATATCTTTTTTTTAAAAGAAGTTGTTTCATGAAATGAATGTGAGTTAATTTTGGTATTAAATATCAGTTAATGATTTTGTTTTGTAACAGTTTATAGTGTGTACTTTGTAAGGGTTATGCGTTGAAGGTAGTGATCATAATACTCCTAGATGGACCTTACTTCATTAATTCAAAACATAACATTTCTTAATAGTATGCTTAAGGAATAGCGTTAGGTGTATAATGCTCCAGTTGTACTCCAAGACTAAAGAAGACCTGATTTCAAGCTGCCTTGGTGTGTGTTCTTGCCTTTTTCCTTTTTTTTCTCCCTTCCTCCCCCCCCCCCCCCCCCCCCGCCTCTCAGTTTTTTTTGGTGTGCTTTGGGAATAGCACTGCTATTTGAATGCCTCAAATGCAGAGGGGATGCTGGGAGAATTATTCTGGCATTCTGTGTTAGTGCAAAGTTTTCTGTCTGCATTTTTATGGCAAAAATATTCTGGGTCATGAGCATTCACACTTGTCTTAGTCTGTTGTTTTTTCTTCTGATGAAGCCAAGACTTGGATACTTAAATACCATAAAATCAAATGCAGGAAAGAGCGCTACTGTTTTCACCTGGTCACATG